TATATATATATATATATATATATATATATATATATATATATATATTATAGATTTTTGTATATATATATTTAGCAAATCTATATAACATAAAAACAAAGAAATAATGCAATGGAAGTATGGAATAATCTCACGTGAAGTACATGGAAATATTGTAATGTATCGGAGGTGGTCCCACTAACTGTACATGGTGGCCGCAGCATATGCATATCTGCACCAAAAAGAGGTGAATTTGACCGGAGAAACATACCTCCGACCCACTACTACCTTCACCTCTCTGACCTTCCTCACACAAACTCATCATCAACAAAATCGTAGGGTACAAAGGAATTACAGAAAACAGAAAAAGAAACAAGAGTGCGCCTACATTCCACCACCTGCAATTCTGCAAATACCTTTCTGCATCAAAGAGAAAAGAGTCACGGAGGAGTTTAAAAAGAAGATATCGAGAGAGAAAGCTGATTTTTTTTTAATTTTTTTATTTGACGAAATGATGGAATTGAAATCCGCAGGAAAGGGGGATCGATTTGGTCATTTGGGTGATGGTTAGGGTTTATGAGGAAAGCTACACGAAATTGTTTTGGGAAACAGGAAGATCAATACGTGTTTTAAAAATTGAATTATGAATGTTTGCCTAACAAATGGTCAATGGCCTAACGGTATGGTGTGAAAAAAATAAAATAAGAATACAATGGAATGTTTACTTATGAAAAAAATATATAAATGTTAATTGTATTTTATCAAAGCAATTTAATTTTTTTTATAAAACCATAATTAAAGTTTCATAATATCAAAACTGAAAAAAAAAATGAATCAAAAAACAACCTGAGTAGTTAAACTTTTTAATAAGATTGGAGTTGATAAATCAAACAAATTTGAAACTTATGTACTGCTTTAATGAACTATCGATAAAAATCTATCGATTTAATATTTAAATTTCATGGAAATAGATTTAATTATAAAAAAATAGAAGAAAGATTAATAATATTAATCAATTTGACTCGATACTAGAACGTGTTCGCTCAAAATCGCATCATGTTGATATTGGAGCGAAACTCAACTGAAATCAGAAAATCAAAAATAATGTTAGGATTGTTTTAATTTTGAAAATGTAAAACCTAAAACAATGTAATTTTAGGCTTGAAAAAAAAACATTTGATTCATATTGTTACTTAAACCCGAGAATTAATTTGTAAAAGCTCTTGAAATGATAATCAAATCAAAGATTGTTTATACATATCTATAACCGAAGCGAACATAGTGTAATTTGATCTTCTTTGATCATGTGTTTTTATTTTAGTAGTTTGGTTGAGCTTCTTAGACCGAAGGGAGTGGTTACGGTCTGCAGGTTTGCCACGGTGGCAGTGGGGAACACCACCCTTAGACTGCGGTTTTTAATGTTGTTTTGCCGCATAATGTAATATTTCGCTGCGCACTATCTCTCTTACTTTCCTTCTTCCCAACCTGGTCAAATATTTAAAATTCGATTTTTATTTTTTTTTTACCTATAAATAAAACCTTACAACCCTTAATTTACCACACCTTAATCCAGTTCTTTTATCTTTTAATATTTTTTTTCAAAACTTTCAACATGTCTTCTTCCAACAACTCAAACAATCAAAAAAACTCACTATAAACACTCCAACCCAAAACCTTCGTATAATACATCCGGTTTATCATTATGATGGTATGCTACCGTATTATCCGCAACAATTCTCACAACAATACTCACAATGTTATGTTTTTTATTATTTTGAAGTAATGAAATGAAATGTTTTTTTATTAAAATTGAAGTTTTTATTTAAATTAAATTGTTAAAAAAAAGTGTGACACCATACCTAATGTGTGGCAAAGAAACCACATTTTCATGGTAAAAATGGCATGGTAGTGACGTGGCGGAACAAAAAGTGTGGTTTTTTATGGCACCACTCCCTCAGGTCATAGACGTTTATGTGAGAATGAGCTCTTGTGTATTGTTTGACGGATTAATTAACATGTTAGATTCCAAAAGTTTGTAGTTACCGCTCTTTTTGACATCCATGAACACCTAGAACAACTTTTTGTTTTCTTTTACTAGGTTAGGCTATATGGAGTACTGTTCGTTTTGCACGTCATCTCTTAATATATCCCCAATAATTTGTTATTTGCTTGACAATATTTGTGGTCTAAAACAAGTGTATCAATCCTCTAATACTCGATTATGAAATAAGTTGGTATTTTCATTTTTGACAGCCCTAATACACCATTCATAGTTTTTATAAAGACATACAGTCTCAAACTTGTTTTTGCATAACTTGGTGATCTTATATTGAAAACCTCTTCAACGCATGTCAATCGCAATTTATCCTTAAACATTTGACGAAATGATACATATGAAGTAGGCTCTTAGCACAATGGCACTCTAGGATTGCTAGTGGGTAACGAGTTGGCCAACGAGTGACAGAAAACATTAAAATCTCCATTGTAACATCCTTAATTTTTCTAGCAAATACCAAGTACAATCCTTGATGTCAATATTTTGGAGTTATGAAGTAGTAATGAAGGTCACGATCTTGAAAAAAAAAGGATATTAAATGTGGGAAATTGGTAAATAATGTAAAACAACTCTTTATTTGTTAATTTTAATGAGTATAATACATGAACATGCTATATTATGCTTTATGATAGAATGATGCAAAGAAATATGTGTTTATGCGAAATTGAGGGAAAAATCCAAAGTACCTTTTTATTTTCTCAGCAAAGTGGGACAAAAGAAGGTTAGCAACATTTTGTGATTAAAAGGGAAAAAGAAAACATGAAAACTATTTAGAAACAATACCCAAGTGATGTATAAATTTTTGGAATGCTTGGAATAGCAAGAGGATTTTAGTACACTACTTAAAAGTGACTTAAATGAGGGAATATGAAGAAAAAGAAAGTTACAAGTGCCTAATACATGGTTTTCATTGGAGAAGTCCTATAAATCGTTAAACACATCATGGATGGAAAATTGTAGTGTCAATGTATTACCACAAATAGACGATTATACATTCACGATATGTATGATCATTTTGTTAAAATCCATATAATAACATCTTTGAGGTGATACACCATCCCTTCTTATTTGGTGAATAACTTTTCTATAAATATGCCTAAAAGTCCTCATATAACATGAGTTGTGATTTGAATGAACATGAAATAAAATATAAATCTCCCTCTTTTTCCTTTCTTCTTTTTTACTTCTCCTTTGTCCCATTCCTGATTCCTCTTTCATTTCAGCTTTTTTGTTTTCCCATGCTCTCTTTTTTTCCTTCTCCTTTGTCCTTTGTCTTTTTTTCCTTCATGTTTCTGTTCTTTTCTCTTTTACTTTTTGCGATCAACTCTCCCGCCTCTTTGTTTTTGTTTTTCTTTTTAAAAAAATTTACGAATGTATAATATTGTTTCATGTTAAAAGAGTAAAAATGAACGAAAACACGATCAAAACAACGTATTTATCATGTTAAGGTAATAATCTCCATATTCACCATCAGTTTATTTGTAAATAGATTGATTCATTATAACGTATTGTTAGTTGATTAACCATTAAATCTATTTTTTTTTTCGGTTAATATTAAATACGTCAACCGGATTAATTGAGTCAAAAGTCGCACAGAATAAAGTCAAAACAAATGAAGCCTCTGAATTATTTTTTAAAAGAATACATATAATCTTGAAATAATTAAATTAAAAAAGCATAGATGACCATTGTATGAAAATAGAAATTTAATCTTAATTAAAATAAAAATTATTTATGAAATTTGAAAAATTAGACAAAATGCCTACCTAATAGTCTAATAGGCCCATTTCGGCTTTTACCAAAAAATCATCAATTGTCCAACTCACTCATTATAAGATATATGGGCTAACTTTCGTGAGTTTCAAAAAATATATTTACCTATTAAAATATGGACAAATGGATAGTTAATATTACCAACTATATATTTGTTATTAACCACGAAATAATAATTTTATAACTATATTAATAAAAAAAACATTATGAATGTTTTTAATATGTGATAAAATAGATATACAAATTAAACCACATCATCTCAACGGACGCACAAAAAAAAATCAGCTTTTTTTTTTAAATTTATTATTATTTTTAAAAATTACTATATCTAATTACTTTAGTCAAACCGTTTTAAGATTTAAGAATCATATCATTTCAATAGCAACTGCCCATGATTATAAATGAATAAAATTTAATATACTTTTGTCTAGTAATCAAATAGATATCCAAGCCACTTATGAATCAAATATTCTCACATAAACTTAAACCAAGTTTTTACCCATAATAGCAACATATTTACAATTTTCTACAAAGTTGCAATAAATTTTAACCCTAAGATCATGTAATCGGCTACCATTTTATTTTTTATGAGCTATTTTTTTTTTTTTTTTTTTGCCTATGTTGAATCCAACAGATATACAAAGTTACAATAACTGAGAACATTTCTGAAAAGTTAACACTTAATAGAGAAAGACGACTTAACACCTTTCTCTTTTACCAGATTAAGTCATGTCCCAGTTAAATCCATTAAATCAAAAAGAAACAACATAGAGAAGAGAAGGGATGCCCTTCAACAATAGTTCAAGAATTAGATGTAACTTGTCATTTTACATTTAGAGAAAAAAAAAAAAGGCATCGGATGTAGATGCAAATATAGCAAGTACCCAAAGCTTTGGCAATTGTACCTTTTGTAGTAACAATATCACGCTAGACAACATATGAAGAAACCACACACAACATAATCATCTTTTTATAACATTTCGCAGCTTCTTGTGAAAATTAATCATCTCTTTCCGCCCTAAAAACCCAAAACATGAATAAATATCAGAATAAATTGTTTTACTCTTTTTACCAATATGGTCAAATGTACTTTATTTTTTACCTTATGTGGTGGAGTTCCTGGTCTTAACATATTGTTACCAAAGTCAAACCTCCCTTTCTTTTCTGATGCCTTGAGAATTTGAAAGGAACATGTCAACGTGTCATCCACACTCATCATTGCTCCAGCATTATCAAACTCACCACAGTAATTTGGAGCTGAAAATATAGTCACCAACTGTCTGCTTGCAAAAAACTCATACCCATCTTCAACCACCTTAAATCCATCAAAAAAAATAAAAATTTGTGAGTAGATTTTCCAAAGTATCTACTCAATCAGACACTGAAAGAAAACTGATTACCTGGTGAGCACGACATATAAGATCAAGATCATGTTTTTCAAGATACTCTGCAACTTTATCAGCTCCAAAAGTATATGATACTCCTCTATCATTCTCTCCCCAGCCTTCCACATCTCTATCAGGATCAGCCCATAGCAAATCACATAAAAGCCCCTGATCAGGGACATCAACAGGGCGTGCTATATTCCTAATATTGTCCAGGTTTTTTAGATCAGGGGATAATCCTCCATGCATACAAAGAATCTTTTCATCAATAAGAGCAGAAACAGGTAAGCAGTTGAAACAGTCAGTGAATGTCTTCCATAAACGGACATTGAACCTTCTTTTGCATTCATCATAGAAGCCATATATGCGATTGATGGAAGCACATTCGTGGTTTCCCCTCAGAAGAAAGAAGTTTTCTTTGTATTTTATCTTGTATGCAAGCAGAAGGCATATTGTTTCTATGCTTTGTTTACCACGATCAACATAGTCTCCTAGGAATAAGTAATTTGACTCTGGAGGGTATCCACCATACTCAAATAACCTTAAGAGGTCTGAATATTGTCCATGGATATCACCTGAAATGTAATACTAATTAGACCATACTACAAAAGATTGAAGATATATAACCATAGTTTCTGTATTTCAATGTAGAACCAAAGTAGACATGTGAATTGAGATCCACAAATCAAGAAAACCACAATGTTTCTTTCTTATGAACAAAAAAAGAAAAGGACTCAAGTTAATAAGGCTACTTTTGGTCCGTCTTGAACTGATATAGTACTCAACCCTGTTTCTACAGAGAGATATTTTCCCAAATCAAAATTTTTAACTATAGAAAGTACAGGAAGATCTCAATCACATATACTAGTGGAGATAATATCTAAATCCATGGAAGAGGAGAAACTACTTTTGTTTACTGAAGAAAGGACGATAACACTTATATAAAATATATTTCCTGCTAGAAGTAATTACTTACCACAAATCTTGATAGGAGCTTCAAGTTCGAGCAAATTAGGTTGGCTGAGAAAAACCTCCTTCGCAGTAACACAAAGCTGCCGAATCTCCGCCTCCGTGATCTGCACCTGTTTCGGCACACGTCCACCCTTGGCATCCAAAAGCTTCCTGATAATCTCGTCAAGTATCGCATCCTCCATTTTTTTTTCAAAATCTCACAAACAAGCTCTCTGCAATCTCCTTCTGTGTGTATAAACCGACTAATTAATCAAAACCCTGTGAGCTATTTTTCAGTAGGAGTTGCCCACTTGCTTCCGTCTTTTTTGTCACAAATTTCAAAACCCTAGGTCTGTCTCTGCTTATCTGTGTTCGAACAAATACGCCACCAAATGATCGATTAAACAGTCTGCTCGTATAACATGATACTTATCGGTTTTCTAACAAGGGGAAAGATATATGTTTCAGTGTCTTCCTGTGTTTCTAGATTCTTTCTTTGTATCATGCGCATTTGAGCACACGTACTGAGCGATTTATAGAAATACACGATGGTTTGTATCTATGGAGGGTAACGGCGGTGATTCGTCGGAGAGTAGCTAAGAGAAGGGGGCTGAAGAGGACGATTATTGTTTATATAGCGCTAAAAGTAGAGGGAAAACCTAATAAAAGCTTACACGAACCCTATCTGGAATCTGGTAACCCATCACTGATATTTATATAATTTCTTACATTTTTTTTTTTTTTTTTTGATATAATTACCTAACTATTGGTACTTTGCTTTTGCTTGATAAATGATTTGAGAATTGACATACTGGCTAAAATGACTAAAAAGGGAAGCAAGTGACGATTTATTTTAATTATCTACTAAAAAAAATAATGACCAACTTCGTGAAAACAAATCGTAAAGTATCATTTTTTGTTAGAATGATTTTGAGAAGTTAATTTAATTTGCAAAAATACTAGTAAATAAAATGTTTGTTTAAGGGAATGACTTATAAAAAGAATATAGTTTTATTGCAAAAATATCATTTTAGTCGATTTTATTGTAATAAATTAATAGTTTTAATACAAGCAATTTGGCCATAAAAAAAGTAATCATTATAAATTATATGAAACTGTAAGAAATTGTTTAAAGGAATGACTTATAAAAATAATATAGGTTTGTATTTATATATATTTAGTTAATTGTGTTTTTTTTTTGTAAACATATGATGAAGTTTACATCCTCTTGTTAGGGATTTATTGCATCAAGTACACAATCAAAAGGTAGCGGAATAATCAAAAGATTTACCTAAGTGCACATGCATCCTAAAATCTAGATTTTACTAGTTTTAGCAACGTACTTTAAAATCAAAGTACAAGAATAAAACACTTACCTCTTGAACCTTAGATCATGTGAATGACAACCTTGCAATGGATGAAGAACCCAAAGGAGAACTCCTCTAAATTAGTCAGACCTAAGACTCCAAAAGCAAAACAAGGAGAATCCTAATTAGGGTTTATTCAGAAAATCTCATAATCCTGGAGAGGGGTTATTGTTGGAATAGGTGTCCAATGTCATAACTAAATTGGTCAAATGTCTTAACTAAATTGGTATAATCTTATAAATAAAAGCAAAGTCCTTTTGGGGTTGCACTCATAACCAAAAATAGCTATAAATGATAGTAGGAGAATGAGGAAATGATTTATTAATTTATTATATGATTAATAAATTAATTAGAAATCAATTAGTATTAATTAATTATTAATCATAATTAATCTGAAATTAATTTGTGATTAATTGCAATTAATTAAAAGTGCATGGGTTGAATTGTAATTGTTCAAAAGTTGAACAAAAGAAGCAGTTCTAGAACCTTGCATGGTATGGATGGTTTTAGGGTTTCTAGAAGCCTCTTATAACTGATAAGGATAAATGTCTTGAATAGTGTAAGCACCCGAGTCGCCAGGTATGAGTTTAATGATTCATTCTATTTTAATTCAAGTAAAAAGGTGATGGAGGACTCGTGAGTACGTTGGGCGTACATTTGGTATGCACGACGTACTCCTTGCATGCGCATCATCTGGTGATCCTCGACATACGTTGGGCGTACCCATGCGTACGATGGGCGTACTCAAGTCAGGGGAAAACCTAATTTTTAGGGTTTGCACCCTATTTAAAGAACTTATGTCCCTCAAGTCTGTTATCCTCTCAGCCTCCACTGCCCTTTTAGTGTCAATCTTGAACCCTACCTTCCTAAGTGCATCTTTGAGCTTACCTTGAGTGTTTTGGTGTTCTTCAGTGGTTTTGAAGAGAAGGAGGTCTTGGAAGAAGCAAAGGAGAAGAAGGAGCTTGTAGATCCAGAGTTTGTGCACCATTTCTATCCTATTGAAAGTATAAAGTTTGAACCTTGATCATTACAAGCTTAAATCTAGGTTTAGGGTGGAATATGGCATCTTTTGGTCCCATAGCTTGGTTTCTTGGAGTATGAGCAACTCCAGGCCATTTGAGCTGTCCTTTTGGACTATTTGGAGTGTTTTGAGTCATAAAATTCGGATCTTGGTGGTTAAGACTCAACCATGCAAGCGTTAGTAACCATCCAAGTGAGTTAATGGACTTAATTCATGGTTTGAGCCCCATCCATGCATGCAAAAGCATAAAGTTTGCAATTTTATGGCTTAAGACGTTATTTTGAGCTTGGATCTAAGTTTTGGACATAAAGGCTTATCACACCCCCAAACCAGAATGGCGGAAACGTCTGAGGGTGGATGACTTCATGAACAGTATCTTAACATAATGAATAATAGTGATCAAAGCAACACAACCATCGTAATTATAATTGGGAAAATTACATTGTGTCTGAATGTTGTTTGTTTCAATTCCAATTACATTACGACAAAAATGAATAGTGTGATGTTGTAACGTCCATCCTCACAATTTTGTAATTACATTGCTTATCGATTCCCTGAGAATACAAGTAGTTTGAAAAAGTGTCAACAATTAAGTTGGTGAGTTCATAAGAGTTTTGTATGTGAAAAATCTGTAACTTTTCCTTATAGAATGATAGTGTATGTTCCAGAAAATCCAATATTTTCTTAAAATGAGTTGTAGTCTAAAAAACCCTAAGACCAAAAATGTATAAGTACTTTTGTACTTAAAGATAGTATTATGTAGTTTTATTATATAAAACTGTTTGAGTGAATGTTGCCCCGTAAACCAAATGTATTGTTGATTCCCCAATAAGAGTTTTGTATGTGAAAAATCTGTAACTTTTCCTTGTAGAATGATAGTGTATGTTCCAGAAAATCCAATATTTTCTTAAAATGAGTTGTAGTCTTAAAAACCCTAAGACCAAAAATATATAAGTAATTGCAGTACTCGAGAGTAGTATTATGTACCCTAAGACCAAAAATGTATAAGTAATTGCAGTACTCGAGAGTAGTATTATGTAGTTTTATTCTTATATAAAACCATATGAATGTATCTTAGCCCCATAAACCAAATGTATTGTTAATACCCCATGTGAGTTCTTATAATCATGCTAAAACTGTAGTTGGCCTGCTGCGACGTTCTTCAGTCGTCGGAAATGTTAGACAATTGTCACCCCCAAACATGTCGGTCTAGCTGTAGCTAACAACTTAGGTGCGAGATTGTCAGTCCCGTATAGATCTATACACAACTGTCACGCTCTCTTACCGAGATTCTGGTTATAATACATGACTTTTGTAGGTACTCTGGTAGGTATGGTGAAGACTATGTCTCATAAAATTGTATCAACAGGTTTAGATATAGTGTAATGAAAACCCTTTTGTAAGTACAAATATTACATTTCCATAGAAATTGCATAGTGTAAAATAATTATACTTTGAAATAATTATTTGTTCGCAATCGTAAAATAGTGTTAATGACCCATAAACTACACCCATTATAGTTTATCATAAATGTTTTGTTTTGTTCATATATATATATATATATATATATATATATATATATATATATATATAT